ATGTGTAGGGGAGAGTGTGTCGTTTAATCCCTTACAATTCCAAGTGATGACCTTCATGGACCCATGGGGGGTTGTTTCGGTGCAGCCACCTCACCACCAACATCACCCACAAATTCACCATCCTCATTAGCCAACTCCATCTCCATGTCACTATCGAACTCATGCAAGTTTGAGGCCACTTCCTCACTTCGTTGCTTCTTTGCCGGACTCGAATGTGGCGAAGACGAACCTGAATTCTGCCTTTTCTTACCCAAGTTACCAAATAGTGGTTCCCTAATTCGAACATCCCACTGCCTTGCCATATCAATGTCGGAAATAGCCTTCGATTTAAATTCAAAAAATCCATCCTCATCCTTATGCCAAATGTTGAAGCCTCCTTTATCTGCCCAACGGTTCAAGGTCTTCAACCTTTTCTTATCCACCCAACCTAAATCATAGGAAGCCTCCCTCACCGAGTCATCATCACAAGACTTTGAGGGGACTCGATCAATTGTTCGTACTCTCTTTCGAGACACAGCAGCAGCTTCATTGCGCCCCTCCATATGATCCTCTGTGTCACTGGTGAGTTTGGTGGGTCGTATTCGACCATTGGCAAATTCGGCATATTAGAAGGGAAGGTGTTTGGTGAGTACGGCAAAAAGGGCGACCTCGCTGAAGGATTAAACCTCCTTGTCGTTGCCCTATAAGCCGTCATAGCTCGAATAAAAGACCTCTTTGCTTCTACAAAATTTAAATGGTTAGTTTCTAAAAAAATTTCATAGTTCTCAGAATTTACCCCCTCATTGATGCTTTCATGTTGATGTTGAGCTTGAATGCTTGGTTGTTGCTCTAACCAGCCTCCGATAAACATCCCATTGCTCTGCTCCAAATGCCCAGCTAGCTGCTGATGAAGATTCGGGTCGAAATCCCCCGGAAGCATCACGTTTTCCCCTGAATCTGCCTGAAAACTGACCGGCTCCGGCGGCGGGAACGCCCAATCTGTTATTCCTAAAGCTTGAAATAGAGTTCTTGGGTTTTCATTTCCCCTTCCCTTATTAATTGCTGTTGTTGATGACTCCCCAATTTCAAAATTAGATCTTTCCCCAAACGCTGGATTCAATGAGTTTGCCGATATTTCACGCGCAGCCGGAGCAGGGTTAATTCGGCTTGCTGTGTACGGGGTCGGAGTAATTACTCCCAGAGGTCGGTCTTCCGACCGGTCAACTTGGTTCACAGGCCCTGAGCTGCGACGCGTATTGTTTGGAAGATTAATCAACCTTCTAACTGGTGATGATCGAGGTGGAGTTGCTGCGAAATTCAAATTCGCAAGGGTGAATTCCGCATAGGGGTCTCGCCCTACACCCAAGCTCCTCCCCGGAGATAAACGGACAACTCCCATATCAAGTCTAGCAGCCATATGATTATCATGAGCCACCTCCAACTCACTAGAGCTTCCTGAGCCCGAGAAATAAACGGTGTCGTTGCTATCATCGGAATTAAAATCCGAATCAGAATTAACATTGAAAAGAGCTCTGTTTCCAATTGGAATATCCTCAGGTTATTGCGGTCTAGTCAGATTTACCGCCCAATTCCGATACCTAAACACATCAGGCAAACCTCGAACATAATTAGTGTAATAGGGATAACCTAAGGGGCCGTGTAGCACCCTCAGACCATCTCTTTCTACTGCTTCTAAACGCCGCATCAAGCGTCTAGTTGCTACCTCTCTTCTCAAATTACAATTACTAGTACTATGACCAACACAACCACACGTTTTGCAAAATCGAAAGACACCTTCATACCTGAAATACACCCAAATTACACGTTCACCTTGCACTGGTACGAAGCAGCCCGGAATCAGTGGTTGTGTGACATCCACAATCATGCATGCCCGTAACTCCTCCCTCTCCGAAATCCTTCCATTTGTTATTAGCTCTAGGGAATCCAAATAGCCAATATGAACAAAGATACGTCTTGCCCATGCCTCCGTAAGAAACTGAAGAAGTAATCCATAACCTCGCAGTAGAGAAATTAATTTGTTGTGGACTATATCTTCTCAGATTAATAATACGCCCATCAAAGACAATAGAATAATGTCTAAGTAAGCCCTCCAAGTCACTTTGAACTAAGCACTCAAACAAGAAATAATCCCCTGTTCGATGAACACGGACATGTCCCCTAGACACCCACCTCTGATTAATTATGTGTTGTACATAGGTAGCAGATGGAGGATTTGGACCGACAAAGACTCCAATCACAGAATTGTTGAAGTTAATGTTTGATAAAGCATTGTAGTTTGGTGGTGGGGTAACAAGGATTCCCATTCTATGGGATCTAAGTCGATTATATTGAGGGGGGTCATTTTCATTATTATGAGGATCATTTGGATTTTGATTCGCCATACTTCTACAATACAGAAGTATAGATAGGGAAGGAAGAAAACAGAAGGAGAATAAGAATAATAGAAAGTGATGGATGAGAAAAACTCAATTAATGAACTCCCTCTTATAGCAAAGGAACTCGATAGACAGAAAACTAGGCACTAATGCATGTCGAACAGTTGGCAAGATGAGCAGCCAAAAATAATAACTTCTTGTAGTTTCCAAATGATGCAGTGGTGATGGGCTCAAGGAGAAAGAGTGCAATAACTTCCTCACACTGATTGGCTCAATTGAAAATCAAAGATTTGAAGCTGAAATAAGATAAAAGGTCCTGTTCTTCGATTGGGTGAATCAAAAAGTTGGAAATTTGAGTGTTAAACCTTCCTTACAGCAATTGGTGGAACACAAATATGGAAAGATGAAAGGATTTCCTACTGATTTGCTCTAGAGATATTAGGCGTGTGTTTGCATGCTACAGTTTCCAAGAACAAGGAAAGTGTTTGAACTTTTGAGTGGAGCAAAAGGAACCGAAAAGGTTAATTTGGGAAGGAACCCATCAAACTTCTACGTGCATTCAATTTTTAATGAGATATCCTTTTGGATTAGCTAAAACCTCTCAACATTAAATAAAAAAAAAATGCTTTGTACATTCCCTTAAAAATAAATAAAAAATAAAAAAATTGCCCATCAAGATTTAAGACACAATAGTAGAAATGCATAACAAATTTTTATAGTTTCTTTTTTAAATTTTTATTTCAATATTCTGCAATTATACATGACGTTGAAGTTTAAGTATTGGATCATTGAGAGTCTTCCTAAAATAGCACAAGCCTCGCAACACAATGAAAATCATTCTTTCCTAGCATAATCCCGAAACAGTCGTGTTTTTTGTTACTTTGAAGAAAAAAAGAATTGAGTTGAATTCTCGGATTTGCTCAAGGTGCAGATGTAGGATCATTGAACACAAAACCTTCTTCAGATTAAAATCCCTTGATACCAAAACCCATAATTTGTTAATGTTGGATTCTTGAGTCATTCTTGCTAGTATTGTTTTGCCCACCCCAAACATCCGACTATCACAACTACACTAATGGTGCTAGATAGGATGTAGGAGTCATTGGATACAATCATTGACTCTTTGTCCATAGGGAGGTATATCTTATCATTGATTCCATGACTTCTTGCAATAAACTGATTTGATGCACTTGATAAAGAATTCATTTTTTCAGCAGTTCACGGAGTTTAGAAGACATACCCTACTTTGTCTACTAAGACATGATAAATCCACTATCTATTCCCTTCTTCCTAAATATCTAAATTAAGACATTTAGTAAAATCTTCAATCTCATAACAAGCTCTCCTAATATTTACTACCCAATCCTAGCGTAGCTTACTCTACTTTCTCCCATCCATTTGACATTATCAAGCAAGAACTTTTATTACTTTAATTTGAACAAATATATATTGGTTAATAATATATTTTTAATGTGAAAGTACATTCTTTAAGATAGCGAAATGAATAGCAATGATAACAATAGTAAGTGATAAGGCTAGAGGTAGGGACAACAGCAAGGAAGGGGAGACTGGGCTGCCGCCGGGTTTCCTCAGGGTCCATATAGGGTCCCATGGGAAAGATATCTTCCAGCCACTAGGAAATGGCCAGGAAATAATAGTTATAGCTAATGGTTCCTGGCAAAAACACACTAGGATTGCTGGTACGTCGACTGTGAATGGGTACACTGTAATTGACCGTGGAGGATATTTTGGAAAAGCATCTTCAGCCTTACATGCGGAACTTATGAGCTGCCTTGGAGGTTTAAGGTGGGCAAATGGTGCAGGCTAACAGAGGATTACAGTTTATAACCTCGGCAGCTGTTATCCAGCTCCTTCAACGGCAAACTATTACAGATATTTCTCCTCTGGATTGTCAAGGATATTAGGTCGGTAGGAGCTTGTTTTGAAACGTGTGTAGTCTGGAAGGTTAGTCGGGAACAGGTTGCTAGAGCTCATGATGTGGCTAATGACCGCAGAGTGAACCTGTTCTCCTTTGGGGATAGTTAGGTTGGGTTGGATTTCTTTTAGTGCTTTGTTGTCAAAAAAAAAAAAAAAAAAAAAAAAAAAAAAAAAAAAAAAAAAAGGTGAGAAAATTAAAGGTAGACTTTTCTATTGTCTATACCATACCAATAGTTATTATTTTATTTAATTTTATCTCAAACAGTTACATAGAATCTAAAATTTTGGTGTAATTTTATCTATTTGACTTTAAAAATCAAAATTGAATAGTAAAAAAAAAAATTAAAAAAAAAAACATTGTTTTCATCACCTCTGCAAAATTGGCCAAAATCGGTATATAGTGGTCTCTTTGCAATAAATTATGACCTCATACGTGAGACAATGAGTCTTTTTGTCAATACTCTATCCGTTTTTGAATAATTGCTCTATTTCTCCTATGCACGTATGGCGATGCAAATCTTTGATCAATTATATTTTTAATTATTAATAAGTATTAATTCTAAAAATTGAAAATTAATAATCTACTTATTGAAACGATTCCACCAAAAACCCCACAAGACTATTTTCTTATGTATAAATCACTAACATTAGTCAAACTAAGATAGATAAATAGTGCAAATAGTGGAAATGGAGAGAGTTATGTTCATATAGCATATATTGATAAACAAAAGTTAATAATCACTTTTACAACACAATCATTAAATCTAGTTTGACCTCCCAAAACATTTTACATAAACATTAAATAAATATGAATCTTGCTAACGAGTGCCCCGGGACGTTGGATAAGGAATAATTATATTGGTTGAAATGGTATTAAGTTAGGAATGCATGACAAAATCACGCGTCGTTCGGTGTAATTAATGTTAATTTTACTCTAATATTCCCACTTTTAATTCTCTTATCTAACGCCCCGGGGACGCTCATAAGCTTTTGCCAATAAATATATAACCCTACAATTTTCCCCAAAATTGTACACCAAACTCATTAAGCAAATTTATTTCATGCCATCTAATTTAACCTACAAGACATAAACTTCTAAAAATCTCTTACTATACCCAAAAAAAATAATGGACAAATCAAACTCATTATGCAATGTCCATACCATGCCATCTTCATTTCCTTCATTAGCATTATCTTGCTTAAGCTCGAGAATATACTTTGTCAACATTATTAGTTGAATACCTGGAAGAACTACAAAATAAACAACAAATCATAATAGTTATAACTATGTTTAAATTGAATATAATATAGGAATTATGTATTATAACTACAACAAATCATAACAGTTATAACTATGTTAAAAGATATGTATTTTGATATTGACCAATAGGTACGAAGTACTTTATTTATGAGAGGCACCTGATGTACGAATCTCCTCCTTATCAATTTCTACTTCAGGAATACAGTCTACCTTGTGCCAATCCGAACCTCCAATTTGACATCGCTCTTTGAGCAAATTGCATTCGATTACCACAAGTGATTTGAGTGTGTCTGGGAGCTCTGGTAATGATTTTAATATCGGACAGTATTCAATTTGCATATCAGTCAAAGAAGTAAGATATTTTAGAGAAGGCAAGTCCTCAAGCTTTGGACACAACTTAATCTTAAGAACACGAAGTCGAGGCATGTCATTTGCGTCCAATCTTGTCCATTGTTGAAGTTGAGCCAAATCCTCTAACTCTAGAGATACCAATGATTGAAAGTGGCCAACTCCTATTCCACAAAAATGGTAATCAAGACATTTTAGATTTGCAAAATCTTGAATGATAAGGGTTTTGAGGTTCAAGAGTTCACCAAATGATGGCATGACTTGAACATTGCATTTTTTCAAATGTATCTTCTCAACCATTAAAGAGGAATGACACATCCATTGTGGAAACTTGCTAGATCCATACTTTGTGATTTTCAACTCAGTTAAGTAATCATGAGGTTTAAGGCCTGTAAGAACATCTTTAGCAGCCGAGTCACTCCTTGATTGCATCCACTTTAGTTCTATGCTCTTGAGGAATGACTTGTTACATAACATAGCTGTTTTAGATTCCTCCATATCTTTGATGTTTTCCAAATTTTGAATGCAGATCGACCCTCGAAGATTGTTCATATTGTTCAGTTCTTTAACTGTATAACCTTCTTTGTCATGTACAGAAAATAAAGGCAGGGTCTGAAGGGCAGAAAGACTTCCAATGTTAGATGGTACACCTACACGCATCAAATCGCGTCTCTCCCAATCTAGAGACAACAAGTTTGTCAATTTATGAAAACCACTCGGCAAGTAGGAGAGAGATTTTGTATCTTTGAGCTTAAGGTATTGTAGGGTGGGAAGTTCAACGAGTGTTTCAGGTAGCTTTTTAAGAGAGGTATAGGAAACATCCAAGTACCGAAGGCGTTTCAATTTTTTTATGGAATCAGGTAGCTCAACAATATCAGTTTTACTTAAGACCAATACTCGAAGACGAGTTAGAGATTTGAAAAGCTCGGGTGGGATAGCACCAATCAATTTTCTATTACGTAACGACAAAAAAGTCCTTAGGTGCTTTAGTTTCTTAAGTTTTGCCCATATGGTCATAGAATCAATGTTGTCACATGACACGGACAAATGACGAGTATCAGAATCCAAAGAGCGTAAAGTAGACAAACCTTCATCAATCCGTTGGCACGTCCATGAAGCAGCTATATGAGCAAATTTATGGTTGAACTCGTGCAGCTTATACACTGGTTTCCCATTGTCAGTAGCTTCATGTGTAATTTGAAGAATAGACTTGTTTCGTAGCTCATTCAAGTACATGTTGCTATTTTGCAAGGCGATTGATATGCTACGATCCTGCTCAATAAAGCCTTCTGCCACCCAGAGTTGGACCAATTCATCAACATCATAGCAATAATTCTGAGGGAAGAGAGAAAAGTAAGCAAAGCACTGCTTCAAATGTGGCCCCAAGCTAAGATATCCTGACCTCAAAGCTGGTAAAATCTCAGCTTTAAACACCGTTGAAACCCACAATGGTTGATTGATCATAGTCACGAGTTCATCAAAATCGCAATGAGCAAGCTTAACCCCGAGAATTCTAGCAACATAAGGTAATCCTTCACATTGTTTTGCTAGGCCATCGGCAGCATGTATCAAGGATGGCTCAAGCTCAGGTAATGGTTTGATGTGGAATTGCGCTCTTTCTATAAGGACCTTCTTACACTCCTCATCAGATAAGAAACTGAGGTGATGTGCCTTTGTCTTAGTAGCCTCTGGAACTCCTGCGTTGACAGTGGTGACAAGGATTTTGATATATGTGTATTGCCTGCCACCAATCTCTTTGGATGTAATGTATGACCAAAACTTATCCCAGTCATCTGATTTAACATCCAACAAGTTGTCAAAGAGGATCAACAAGCTTCCATGACTGCTGCCAGCAACCAAGTTATTCTCGAGTTGAATGACAACTCTGTTAAATTTGAAGTCACCACATGTGTCCATTGATAATCTTATAAGATCAAACTGTTCAGAAATTTCTGTCTGCTCAAGAATAGTCAGAGCAAGTGCAGTCTTTCCAAGTCCATCCATACCCACAATACAAAGTCCCTTATAGTTTGAAGAGCATGAACTTAACTCCTCAATTATTTCCTTCTTGTCACATTCCCTTCCAATCAAGTTTGGTACGACCTCATTCAGACTGCAGTTACCATTAGATTCCTTGTTCCTGCCTTCAGGTAAGAGTTTTATAAGGCGCTTCAATTGCTCTAGTATATCATCAATCTCTTTCTGAAGGTTGCTAAAACGATATGGCTTTCCCCAGCTTGTTGGAGATGTTCGGATGACATTAAGCACTGGTTTCTTGTTGGAACCTATGTTCTTGTGCATGATCTTGAGCGCCAAGTCTTCTGTAAGATCCCCTGCCTTGTAGCAGAGTCTGGCTAAAGTGTCAACCAAATTTTGTAGGACAATTTTGGTGTTAACATGGATATCCAACATGGAAGCGTCCAAATTACTAAGTATTTCTTGTGCTTCAGTGACAGTTGCTTCGAGCTTAATCATCGCCTCATCAGCACTAGCAATCTTCTTGAGCTCAACAAGAATGATATGCGCCATTCCTTCAAATGCAATAGAAAGCAAAGCTGATGCAAAACCAGATTGAAATGCAGCTTCCATAGCAGATGGATGATGATGCATAAATCCCTTCTTGGATGGCTCCTTCATAAGATGAAACAAAACAAATATAAATGTGAATAATAAACCATAGACAGAAATTTATCAACACAAATACAGACATACGTTACACGCGAAGTAATAAGGCATGTCAAACAGGGTGTTTGAGTTGTATTCAAGTTCAGTCTGTTCAGGTATAGGTCATTATTGATTAATACCAACACTTCATGAAAATATGAAATCATCTCAATGGTATACATAGCTGCAAACTTTTTTATTACACATGAACTTCAGAATATATTTGTACAACTTCTTTTATTGATCATTAACGTGCAAATAAGGTAAGTGTAAGACCTAATACATTCTTTGAGTTTAAATTGTATGTTCTTTTTGCTTAATATTTTTTCTAATACGGACCATGTTTTAATTTGTTACATAGAAGATAGACCTGTTTACTAAAATGAAATAATAAGTTTCTTTGCTTTATTTCCCTGTACTTTTATATTAATCCTTATATTAGTTGATTATTATTCATTCTTGGAATTTAGCCTTTTAAGTTATTGGGGTGCACAGTGAGCAACCAATAATTGAGTCATAAAGTTGGGGCTTTATTACTCCATTTGATACAAATTACATGACTCATTTTTCTTTTTCTACATTTAATCATAAACAATTGCCTTTTAAAATTTCAGATATCCAAAAAATCTGTAAAAAAATGGATCTAAATGGATATCTAGCCTTCTTTTTCTACTTTTGGATACTTCAGATCATATACCAGTTTTTTGGATCAAATTTTAGGCTAATAAAAAAAATACTGTATTAGATTTTCAACATTTGGATCGGATATTCAGTTCAACCAGCCCTATTTCTAAATATCACAAGTCCTGTTTTTGGTTGGACTCATTTTTTATATTTACGTATTTTAATCTCAATATTCTCAGACAAAATACCACACCATTATGTACGCATATAGTATCCTTAAATGTTTTAAAGTCAATTTAATAACATAGATTGAACTCATCTAAATAATCCAATATATATATATATATATATATATATATATATATATATATATATATATATATATATATATATATATTATGAAAAACACACACATTCATACTAATGAAAATGTACTAGCAAGGAAAGAGATATTTACTTGAAGAGGTATGAGAAAGATATAATGTCAAATACCAGAAAAAACTGCAGGAATGTCAGTGACCCCCCTGTACATGACATTGAAGCGGCATGAGGAAGATATAATGTTATAGCATAGAAAGCTGAAAAATACTAGAATGTGGAGCTAAATTATGCAAAGAACAGAAAAAAAAAGGAGAAATTCAATGAATTGATGCATTCAAATGGCATGAAAAACCATCAATATCCATTAACTTACCAGGAAGAAGTAGATACCGTAGAGTGATAATTGATGTAAGATGAATGTCAGTTAGATTTTTTAGAATTAGAATATTTGTATTAAGTAAAAGGAAAAGTAATGGAGTCAAAAAAGTAAAAGTAAAAGGAAAGGAGTCAAAAGACAATTGAAAGTAAGAGAATATTGACAACTAAAAGGAATTTAAAGTTACTTGCATTTTTTTCCTTTTGAAAAAAAAAAAAGTTACTTCCATATTTGAAACATTTAATTTATTGACACTACATATATACTAAGTACATTTTTTAAAAGATAAGGAGGATCCCAACCACCTCAATCCTCACGATTTGTTTGCTCCAGTCTTCTACAAGCCACATACTTGGAAGTACAACTGTACAAGGGTATGGTAAGGGAATCCCTACCACTAAGTACCTTTGTAGGATTCGGAACCTTAAACCTCTCTAAGATCTAAGGTAAGAGTGACCGGTAGTTTCGACACTACATGACCAAATTATTTAGTAACTTTAGAAAATTATCATGCGTAAAATGTTTTCAAATAAAAATGAAATAAAATTTAACTATTACAATTTATATTTTACGTCCATCTTAATCTAATTGTCATTCTTTCTTTCATGATATGAAACAACAAATACTCGAATATTTTACCACGTCTCTCTTCATAATATCAAAAGTTAACCCACTTTAATTTCAATTATTAAAAAATCCTACAACATTTCCCGTCACAGCTACTAATAAAAATAAGGTGAAGGGGTTGTTTGGCAATCGGCGGTTGGCTGTTGGCTTGTTTGCTTGGCTTGTTTGACTAGCTGGAAGTATTAGCTATATGGGTTGGTTTTTTAAGTTATTGTGTTAAGCTGACTATTTTCAAAAGTGTTTGGTAAAATTGTTAATGATTGTTAGCTGTTTATTAGTGATAAAGTGGGCCAACAAGCCAAAAGCCAATAAAAAAAGCTACTCTTATTAGCTTTTGGCTTTTGGCGGAAAAGTTAGCTTAAAAGCCAACAAAAAAGCCAACTACCAAACATATTTTTTGGCTGTTTGACAAAACTTAAAAGCCTAAAACCAAAAGCTAGGCAAAAAGCCAATTGCCAAACAACCCGCTGACAATATCATTGAACAAGGAAGAAATACCTTTATAGTTGAGTACAATTGGAGAGGCGAAACTACTCTTAAGATCAGTACATTCTGAATCTCGGATACTTGGCCTAGATTGCAATAGGAACAACCCCTATGAACGCACAAGAGTAGTAAGAAATTAATTGCTTCTTGTTTGATTAATGGTGCCCTCTTCTCTGATTCGAGTGCAACATTGACATGTATATTCCCCTTGACTTGCATTGACTCAACCTTTTCTAAAACATCTTCTTGCTCCCAAGACTTGACATGATCCTTGACTTGCATTGACTTAGCCTTTCTATAACATCTCCCTGCTTTTGAGACTTGACATCAATATGTAAATTCCCCTTGACTAGCATTGACTCAAGACTCAACCTTTCTAAAGCATCTTCCTGCTTCCAAGATTTGACAGTGATATCTATTTCTCCATTGACTTGCATAGACTGGACCTCTAAAACACCTTTCCTGCTTCCAAGACATGACATTCAGATTCTACTTGACTTGCATTGACTCGGCCTTTCTAAAATGGCTTCCTGCTTCCAAGACTTGAATAATTCCCCTTGGTCTGAAACCAAATTCTTAATCACATCCCCCCCCCCCAACACACCGAAACAAACACATAGATCAACTATTTGCTTATCCAGAACACCCAGATGAGATTTTTATTTTGGTGATTTAATCACTGCCACCACCATATTATCAAAACAATAAAAGTCCTCAAACATCAGATATTGAAAGAAAACATTCTTAGTCAACTACTCAACTGACACCTAGTACAGCAAGAAACAGACATGAGAATGCAGACCGCTAGATGTGAAATTGCATGCACTTGTTGAGTCACCATTGCTGGAAATCAAGGCAAGGAAAAAGGACTAGGGCTCTCTGTAAGGACAGACTTGAGTTTGATAGCTTCTCTAACAGCTAGCAGATCACATCCAGGAGCTTTTGAGTAGTCAGTTTGGAAAGATTCTAGACAAGAGAGTCAAAACTGAAAATTTCATAGAAATAGTGAATCATTAGTTTCATACTGCAGAAACATAGTAACTACAGAAGTACATTAAATCCAACAAACAGATCAAGCCTAATTTTAAGAAATTTCACCCGCAAACTGGGAGGGTATGTGCATGATAGGCTACATTACACAAAAAATTTACAAAAATTAATAGCTATGTATTAGTTTTCACTGGACTATTTTCCTGTAAAACAAGAGACCAGAGCTCAAGAGCTAAAATATACTCTGCATGACATGCCTGAAGTTTGGCTCTGTGGGTGCCTCTTAGAAAGATATTGCTGATCATTTATAAGTGTGGTTGTTAGTAACTGAGAATTTTAGTGTCCAGCAATCAGTGAATTAACTTGAATGTACTTGAGTTATTAGGAGTAGTTGAAATGCCAGAAGTTATGACTCTTCATTGCATCACAATAATGTAGAAGGAATCCCTTACCCCTATATAAAGTACTCATGTACATATCAAAATAATATAAGAAATCTTTTTTCTTTTCTACATACACTATACAGTTTGCACTAACAACTGTTTCATTTGTATTTCCCTCATGATAAGTTAAAACATTACACATTTACACACCCCCATCTGTTATTTGTTATCTTCCTTAAAGAAAATAAGATATATAAACTACTTCAAGGATGGCAAAGATGGAGATACTGTTTAGCTCCCTTGCCCAGTACCCGGGTTTGAGCCCGTTAAGGACCATTATCCTTTCCACAAGATAAAAATACTATGGGGAGCAATGCTTGTCTAAAAAAACTAACAATATCATTAAATTTAATGCCAATTCAGTACATAATGATGGTAGGGAAAGGAACACTGACATGAAACTGTATCCCAAAAGGCCAAAACTTATATGGGGTGGAACAAAAGTTTCTCCAGGCATTGGCATCTTCTTTACCAACTTTACTGGTAATTAATTTTCTTATTGCTATTCATTACCACCTACCTTAGTTTCACAGAAAATTGCAACACTTTGACTAGCACACTTGCCAATACACAACTGACCAAAAATATCTATTAATAAAACAACATATAATAAAAAAAATTGATATTATAAAAACATACAATTAAGTTTATTCATAGCGCTTGCTTTCAATAAATTAGTTGGTTAAAACATTTTTTTTAAAAAAAAATAAATAAATAAGTTGTAATTGGTTGGGATACTTGGAAAACAGCTATACAACTCTGATATAAGTAACTAGATAAAACTATACCTCTCTAAATACGATATCAGCAATATCTGAATCTTCAGAGTAATCAAAGTCGTCTGAAAGTGAATCTGTGAAAAAACATCTCCATTAATTATATTCAATAAGAAAAATGTTCATAATAATGATTAGTGAAATATATATACATTCAACATTAATATACCTAGGGGTGTTAACGAGCCAAGCTTGCTCGTGAACTACTCGAGACTCGGTTTGACATGGTTAGTATAAATGATTTGAGTGAGCTCGATACGAGCTCGGATCGAGATCTTAACGAGCCACGCCTGAGCCAACCTTGGCTCGGCTCTGAAGCTTGTGACCAAGCTCAAGCTTTTTTTTTGGTAATAAATTAATTATTAGCATCAACTTTTCTTCATATTTAAGGCTCAAGGAGTAAAATTAAACTTCATAACTCTAGTGCTCTCACCAAGTTTTATTGTTATTGTTTATAAAGAAGAACATAATAATAATAATAATAATAATAATAATAATAATAATAATAATAATATTATTATTATTATTATTATTATAATAATAATAATAATAATAATAATAATAACAATAATAATAACAATAATAATAACAATAACAATAACAATAACAATAACAATAACAATAATATAGGAAAGAAATAGTCCCACATTGAGAGATAGAAGCAAGAGATAGAATATGAAAGCTATAAAAAAAAAACTCTAATTGTCTGAGAAACAATGACTATGACTATGACTATGACTATGTTTTCAAAAAAAAAAAAAAAAAAAACAATGACTATGAGCACCATTTAAGCCCTTTTTAAATGGGCTAAATACTAAAGTCTCTAAGCCTTGAGTCTTGAGCCAAGCCAAGTCGGGCTCTTAGGAGTCCCGACCCTTAAGGAGTATCGAGCTCGAGCCGAGCCCTAATTTTTAGCTAGCTTGAGCTAACGAGCTCGAACTAAGGCTCGGTCTCGGTTCACTAACACCCCTAGATAAACCTAAGAAACCTACTATTGCAGGTCCAACAAAAATCTCAAAGGGATCAAAATAAATATGCATTCAGCATAGATATACCTAGCCTAAGTAACCTAACTATTGAAGGTTCAACAAAAATATGCACAACAAAGACATTATATCCAACTATCCAGTGAGTGACAATTTATTGAATCAAATTGGAGGTGGAATCTCTTACTAAGAAATCATGCTAGATATTAAAAATCTAGTTTTCTATGTGGAAGCTTACTTATCCTTGGCCAAAATAGCGTTGGAAAACTAAAGAAGAAAATCAATCTTTCACCTTAACACTTATTATCTATTCTACTCCGTCCGACCGACTATCCGTCCCAAAGTAATGTTCCTAATTTGACTTTTAATGGTCAAAATTTAAAAACTTTGACTATAAATTCTCATTAAATTTTATGTTATAGCTTTAAGAGAACTACTTTCATAAAATAAATGTATGAAGCAATTTATATTTGGATGTTGACACAGCCTTGCTATAGTGCCATGCCATCCTTTAGATGAGAATGCATTTATCTCTACTTAGTTGATACATATACATATAGCCTTTAATTGGGTATATTTATGTTGGACAACTCATATGTGTATCAGTGTATATATGTATACAAATTAAAAATTGTTTACGTTTTGTTAAAACTCTCCTAAGTCAATAAGATTAAATTGAAATTTGACAATTGATCAAAACTACAGTTAAGAAAATCAATAATCCAAGTACTTAATAAATGAGTAAAATGGTACAAAATATACCTGTTGTCCTGCCATCATCTTCAGAGCAATCATCTTGATGCGAGTGGATGTCTTTTAAATCAATCCATATATTTGGCACATGTTCTATCTTGTCCCAGTCTTCACCATCCTTTGAGCACTTCAGTTTTAACAACGGACATTCGTTTATAATTAAATCCTTTATCAAACCCGGTAGTTTTTGTTTAGTCAGATATTGCAGTGATTTGCAGCGACTTATCTCCAAATGTTTTAAAGAATCAATTAATGGAAGAAAAGGAAGTTCAGCCAAGTTTGGACAATGCTTGATGATGAGCTTCAAAAGACGTGGAAAGTCGTATGTTTTTACGTCTTCCCACGCTTCCAGAGTTGACATGCCATCAATTACCAATGTCTCTAATGACCAAAATGCAGGATAACTTATCTGTCCACGAAAACAGCAATCAATTTTTCTCACTCCATTCATTTGGGTGATTTCAAGATACTTCAGGTTGGGCAACTCCCCAAGTGATGTATTGAGTTCAATATTTTCACATTTAATGAGGGTTATACTAACAAGGTTCTTTAAATCCTCGTCAGCAATCCAATGGGGTAATCGAGAGAGAGGGTAGCATAATAACTGCAACTCTTCTAAGCATACATTTGGGATAAACTCATCGATACATGTTAACGAATCCTGTTGAATCTCCATCTTCTTATCTTGAAATATATTCCATCTTAGCTGCAGTTTAGATATGCGCTTTTTTCTGCGCAAAGCAGCAACCTTGACATCATCTTCATGACATAGATTTTCCAAACCAGAGATGCAAATACTTCCAGAGAGATTATTCAAATACATAAGGTCTCTAATGTTATGACCACGGTTATTGTCGATGATGAAGGCAGATAGGGTGCGAAGCTCAGTAAGGGCTCCAATTCCCTGAGGCATAGAGGTTAATTGGCCAAGAACATCGAAATCTAAATGGCGAAGGCTGACCAGGTCTTTCATACCTTTCGGAAGCTCAAAAAGGTGATTGCATTCCTTAAGTTTCAAAGTTTGTAGCTCACGAAGATGACCTATAGATTCAGGCAACCCTTCAATTGGTGTAAGTGAACAATCAAGGTAACGCAGTTTAGTCAGATTACCTATAGAAATTGGCAACTCGGTGATATAACTTCTGCTTAAATCCAGTGCTCTTAGCAATTTGATGACAAGAAAAAAGGTTGATGGTATTTGTTTGAGAGAAGAGCCATAATTGGGGATGAATAGAAGTGTCCTTAAGTCATGAAATTTCCTCAATGCCTTAAAAGTTGTTTGATCAAATTCATCATACGCCAAAGAAACATGCCAAGACTGCATAGATCCATCAAAAGAATTGCTGTCCTTGATCATAGTATAAAGATCCTTAGTGGAAGTCGACACTTTATTTAACATGTTCTTAATAGTTCCAACATTGATAACGTATGTCATCTTCCCAGTCAAATTGTGAGTTCTTGAGGCCGATATTAATTTTCTTTTTTCAAAAAGGTCAATACAACAATTTCCAACATCTTCCATCTGTGTTGTTTGTCCTTTGTGCCTTCCCATATGCTGAAACACAACATCTTTCAACCGTGCATCCTCTAAGAACCCTCCTGCCATCCATAATTGAATAAGTGTCTCTCTCTCAATTTCGTGATTGTGTGGAAAGAGACAACATGTAAGCATGGGTTCATGAAGAATTCTGCGTGCTTCTCTAACTTTGGCTCGAATCTTGATTTTTGCTATTAGAACCAAAGCCAGAATGTCCAATTTTCTATACATCTTTGGCTGAAATACAGTGTCTAATGTGCCTACAAAAAAGTTGCCCATATATTTATATAATAATTTTTAATTCCAAATTATTTTGCTTAGCTATGGAGATGTCTTGACCACCATTTCTTTTGTCTTTGTTAAGTGCAATATGAGCAAACAAATACCAAAAAAATTAACCTCATTAACGACGCAACTATGAAAAAGGTCCCCTTACTCAAAACCCTAAAGCAAAGGACAAAGATTTCTTGTGTAAAACCTATTGGATCATCACTTA